CAAACAAACACAGTATCTTCGGCCATCCTGCACCAGGCCAGCCCTACCTTTATGGCTTTGCAGCCTTCATGTTAATACTGGCCATCTCCTAGAACAGGGGTGGGCAAATGTGGCTCTTTTACAACCTGTGGACTTCAACTCCCAGAATTCCTGAGACAGCCAAGCTGTCTCAGGAATTCTGGGAGTTGAAGTCCACAGGTTGTAAAAGAGCTACATTTGCCCACCCCTGTCGTAGAACAACTGACCTTCAGAAGTTGAGGAGCTTCATCACTGGAAGCTTTCAAGAAGAGACTGGACTGCCATGTTGTAGGGCGGTGATGGTGAACCTAATGGCACGCAGATCCCTCTCTGTGTGCACATGTGCCATCACCAGCTGCTCTTGTCATTTCTAGAGCCAGCTAGTTGGTCTTCAGGGGCACCGGAGTGCCAGAAAAGGGCCTAAAAACAGCCAAAAAACAGGCCATTTTTCAGGCTATTTCCAGGCTGTTTTGAGGCCATTTTCTGGTGCTCTGGTGCCCCTGAAGACCAACTGGAGAACAGCCTGAAAACAGTCTGAAAATGGCCTGGAAAATGGCCAAAAACGGCCAAAAAACAGGCATGCATGGTCCGGCCAGCTGATCTTCGGGTTTCCCGTGCTCCAGCACATGCATGCATATTCCAGTTTGGGCACCCAGTTCGCCATCACTGTTGTACGGTCTCCTTTTTGGACAGGGGGTTGGACTAGATGACCTACAAGGTCCCTTCTAACCCTGTTATTCTGTTAGATTGCTTCAATCTTACGGGAAACGAACTCAAGGATAATACTTAGTGAAAAAACAATGGCAATGTCCATAGACCTGAACATTAGCGCCTTTAATAGGGAACATTAGAACATGTGTTGATGCAAAGTTGTATGTGTAAAAAGTTCCCCATATTTGCAAATATGAAATCTGGGAGGCTGAGTGCATTTGATCGTGCGAGGAAAGCAGGGTCATCATTCCAAAGGTGCAGAAGCTTTTAAGGAAAATAGTAAAATGCGTTGATTTATGTTTCTGAGCCATAAAAATAAAACCCGTGCCTAACTTTCACTCGGCATATTATAAATTAGATCAAGCATCTTTCCCCCACCCGCCTCCCATAAATAAGCAAAGTAAATGGGGAGCCTGGCTCATCTTGGAGCTCTCAATCTTGCGGGACTCAGAAAAATAGCCTGATGTTCTGAAATTTTAAACCTTTCTGTACCAAATCATTTTAATAGAATTCCCTTTTCTGCTTCGTCCCTCGGCGGATTGAACGCTTCACATTTACATCGGCTGCCGGGAGGGAAGAACCTCTTCAAATGAAGGGCCCATTTTATTAGAAAGAAGCGGAGACGAGCAGCTCACATCTGAAGGGTCCGTTTTATTAGGCGAGATAGACAAGTAGCTCACATTCGGGTGTGTTTTGCTGCTGTGTTTTATGTTCGAAAGCTAGTTAGGCCGCCATGCGTTAACGGCTGCCGTCGGAGGAGAGCAAGCACCTTGAGGGGGGTAGCTCAGCTTCCTTACTCATCGTCTCCTCTCTGTCTTGCATCGTGTTTCCCTCCGTGGTCTCTTGTTAGGAAATTTATTTCCTTGGGCTTTTCTTTCACGCTCTCAGCAGTGTATGTAAATAAAGGATTGTAATGGTGCCATAATTCTAAAGCAGCAGCCTTTAACGATATATCAGCCAGTCTATAAGGCAATCAGCTGCCGGCACCAGTAGGAAATTTCCTTTCCGTTCCTTCCTCCCTCCCAAGCAAAATAAATCTATTAGCCCAAGCCAATCCGCTGTATATAAAAAGCGGATATATAATTCAACCGAGTTCAGCAGAAGGCCCTCAATTCAATGTATTGGCTAAAAGAACGGGCCATGTTTAGAAGAGGTCTTTTCACACTTTACTTGGTGACTATCGAGTAGATCAGGGGTGTCAAACTCAATTTCATTGAGGGCCGCATTAGGGTTGTGTTTGACCATGGGGGACGGGTGTGTGTGTGGCCAGCTCGACATCACTCGTGTTGGGGCACCTCTGGTCGCCCGGGTGGGGCTTGGGGATCCATTGTCACCAGCCTTCCTTCCTTCCTTCCTTCCTTCCTTCCTTCCTTCCTTCCTTCCTTCCTTCCTTCCCTTTTCATTTTCCTTTATTCTTCCTCCTCCTCTTTCCTTGCTCTCTTCCCATCTTTCCTTCTTTTTCTTTGTCTTTCTTCTTTCCCTTTCTCCTTTCCTGTCCCTTCTTGGATGCTCAAATGCAAAAGGGGAAACATTTCTCTTTTTCTTTTCTTTTGCTTTTAGTTTGTTTTGCTAGCCCTATGCCAGCAAAAACGGAGCCCGCCCTGTTTTCGGCCGCAATGACCTCCACCAGCGAAAGCGTAACTTGGCGGGGCCACACATGCAGGAGACCATCGTAGCTGAAAACAGAGCTCCATTTTCGCTGGCAGAGGGCCTTCACTGTTTCCAGGGCGGCCCTGCAGGCCAGATCTAAGCACCCCACAGGCCCGATCCGGCCCACGGGCCTTGAGTTTGACACTCCTGGACTAGATCAACAGGTTAAGAAGAGTGCTTTGGACAAGGCCCAAAACTAACTACGAGCCTAAGAGCCTGTTTCCAGGTATACACTTTGCAACTAAAATCCATGTGAAAATGCGCCTTTCAGCACCTTTCAGTTTTTCCTCAAAATGTGCATCACTTGATAGTCCTCAATTTACAACCACAATTGAGCCCCAAAATTACGTGGCTAAGCAAGGTGGTTGTTAAGTGAGTTTTGCCCCATTTTACAACCTTTCCTGCCACAATTGTGAAGCGAATCACTGCAGTTGTTAAGTTAGTAACACGGTTGTGAAGTGAATTTGGTTTTCCCCGTTGATTTTGCTGGCCACAAAGTCCTGCAGAAAGTTGTAGGAATTGGGTATGGCCAGTCTAGAGAAAAGAAGGACTAGGGGTGATAGGGTAGCGGTATTCCAATATTTGAAGGCCTGTCATAAAGAAGAGGGGGCCACCTTATTTTCCAAAACACCAAAAGGCAAGACAAGAAGCAATGGTTGGAAACCGATCAAAGAGAGAAAGCAACCTGGAATTAAGGAGAAACTTCCTAACAGTGAGAACAATTAACCAGTGGAACAACTTGCCTCCAGAAGTTATGGGGGCTCCAACCCTGGAGGTTTTTAAGAAGAGACCGGACAGCCACTTGCCTGAAATTTTATAGGGTCTCCTGCTTGAGCAGCAGGGTTGAAGACCTCCAGCTCTATCCTGATTGATTGATTGATTGATTGATTGATTCGATTTATATGCCGCCCTTTTCCGGAGACTCAGGGCAGCTTACAATGCGTTAAGCAGTAGCCTTCATACTTTTGTATATACCTGCTTAGTAGGGCTTTGCCCCCCCTCCCCAGCGGTGTTCTTTTTTTTATACAAAGTCAGCTTATTGCCCCCACAAACCGGGTCCTCATTTTACCTACCTCGGAAGGATGGAAGGCTGAATCAACCCTGAGCCTGGTGAGATTTGAACTTGCAGTAATTGCAGGCAGCTGTGTTACTTAACAGTGCTTTAATCTGCTGCGCCACCAAGGCTCTATATCAGGGTGGATTTGATTTAAATCGAGTTGATCTAAATCACGATTTAAATCATGATTTAAATCACTAGTAAAAAGGCTTGATTTAAATCAACTCGATTTAAATCATAATTTTTAAAGAGCAACTGTCATTTCTGCTACTCCTTTGACCCGCTGTTGACTCACCGATAGTCCCAGTGTTGCAGAATATACAGCCTCCTGCTACATAACTAAGCTCCATTTCATGCTGAATAAACTAAATTATTTATGTATCTTAAATAGAAAACTATCTTACGATAGATTTTTACCCCAAAAGTTTTTTATTAAAATAAATTCTGCTACCACCAATAGCCTCCCACCGACCAGTACGCTCCCATAGAGAGGGGCTCCTCCGGGTGCCGTCGGCCAAACAATGTCGACTGGCGGCCCCCAGGGGGAGAGCCTTCTCTGTGGGGGCACCTACTATCTGGAACGACCCCCCCCCCCCCCCCCCCCGAGATATGGAGGATTCCGGATCTGCGTGCCTTTCGTCGCGCGCTTAAGATGTTCCTATTCCATCAAGCTGGCCTGACCTAAACTTTTCCTCTTTTTAAATGGGAATTTTAAATTTGGTTTTAAATTATTGGGGTTTTAAAATGGTTCAGCCAAATTTATTTAATTTGTTTTATCTCCATTTTAAATTTTGTATTTATATGTTTTATTTTATGGCTGTTCACCACCCTGAGTCCTTCGGGAGTAGGGCGGTATACAAATTTAATTAAATGAAAATGAAAATGAAAATGAAATTCGATAAAAATCAAAAAAATCCGATTTAAATCAAAAAAATCCGATTTAAATTTTAAAAATCTGATTTTTTTTTATTTTTTTTTAAAAAGTCATTGATTTTTATCCACCCTGCTCTATATTGATCCCTCCTCACACTTTGTAGTCTTTAGAGAAGTTTTAACAGTAACAGAGTTGGGAGGGACCTTGGAGGTCATCTAGTCCTACCCCCTGCTCACGTAGGAGACCTACACTAGGGATTCAAACGCCGAATTGCCGACCTTTCTGATTGACAAGCTCAGCGCCTTAGCCACTGAGCCACCTAGCCAGGCTAAAGTACCTTAGCTAACCTGAAGGTCCTTATTCATAAATATCGCAACGTATCTAAACCCCTCTGCTGTTGTAGCTTTGATTTTCTTCTTCATTAAAGTAAAACAGCCTCCAGGCTTTTCGATAAACCCAGAAAAGGAATGCACGTTGCACAATCTGTGTGTGACTTCGTTCCTGATGTAAGGTTTCTAACTGAGGAATATCTCTAAATTGACCACCAGAGGGGGATAAAACATCACTTTTATTCCTGTTAACTTCCCCAGTGCAACATACCCTATTTGGAGAATTAAAAGAGTTTCCTTTATCGCTGAAATGTATACTTACCCTTCCAAATTTCTGCTTCTCTCCTCCCCCCCAACATAGGTTACCAGTGCAGTTGCCTTTCTCAGTTCACTGGGCGAAACTGTGAATCGGAGATCACCGCCTGCTTTCCAAATCCTTGCCACAATGGAGGATCCTGTGATCCCATAGGCAGCGCCTTCATTTGCACCTGCAAGAGTGGATTAACTGGAGTGACGTAAGTAGAATCATCCCGGAGAAGACCTCACTAGGGTGCATGGGCCCCTCGAAGGTTTTTTGGATTTAGCATCACTAATCTGCAGCGTTGTCAGGGTTCTGACGGATGCCCTAATTAAATCATGAGTCTCGAGCCAAGCTTCAGAAGAAATCCAGTTATTTATTAGGAGCTACATGTCGGCACGTTCCCAAGTGAAGCCAGCTCTGACCCTACGTAATTTATGCCTGTTTCCTGTAGCAATAAAAATAACTTTGGAAAGTCAATTCCATTGATGATACAGAGTTACGGTCCTTAGGTGGTTTATACAATAATAATCAGACAACACACAGTGCTACAAAAGTTAAATTGGTTATTTTTTTTCAAAGCATTGATGAGAAACATCTGAGTGGTGTGGTGGCCTACAGGTGGCGCTCTTGCCTCATAATCAGGAGGCTGTGAGTTCAATCCTATGTAGAAGCAGATATTTCTCTCAGGGGACAATGAGGATATATCTGCTGGGGGGGGGAACTCCGCATTGGCAACAGGAAGGGCATCTGGCCAGTAAACACTCAGCTCCATTCAGTTGCCCAGACTCCACCCCGCAAGGGTTTATGGGGTCATTAAAAGAAGATGATGATGATGATGATTGAAGAGAAACATCTGTTTTACATCTGTCTCAGTGGTGGGTTCCTCCCGGTTCGGTCCGGTTCAGCCGAGCCGGTAGCGGTGACGATATGACGTCACCGAACCGGTTCTCCCCCCCCGCCCTCCCATCCCTCCACCCCCCACGTTATTCTTACCTTTTATTTGGCCCCACCCCCAATCTATTGTTGCCTCCTGAGTCCCAGCTGATGACTAGAGGGAAAAAAACTGTTTAAACTCTTGCCGCGGGGCTTCAAAGGGCCGTCCTACAGCTGATCAGTGTTGAAAGCAAACAAATGAGATGGGTCGTAAGTGCGAGGACTGGTCGTAAGTGCGAGGACCTTCCAGAAATGACTCTGACCAGCTAGCCACACCCACCTAGTCACATGACCTCCAAGCCACACCCACAAAATAATCCACGCCCACAGAACCGGTAGTAAAAAAATTTAGAACCCACCCCTGATCTGTCTCCTTACTTTCTTCATGCTGAAATCAAGGTAACAAGCATAGGATTGGCCGTCAACAGTCCCATGTTAAGACAAAGCTCTTCAGTGACCTTCACACTCAGCTCTTGGACGTGTAACTGAAGACCATCTTAAGCTATTCCGAATCGTCTTCATCCTTGTATATGGAGATAGCCATTCTTTGCAGCTCATTGCTTAGTTAGATCTTTTAATGAGATATTCTTAGATAACCATTGACTGATGATCTTTACCGAGACTAGTTGAGAGGGGATTTTTCCCCTAGTTGTGCTTTGCTTAAGCAAAAAGATCTTTCTGAGCTCTCACATAATTCAATGCCTCTAACTGTTCTTCATCTATATATCAGTGGGGGAATCCAAATTTTTTTACTACCGATTCTGTGAGCGTGGCTTGGTGGGTGTAGTGTGGCTTGGTGGGCGTGACAGGGGAAGCATACTGCAAAATCTCCATTCCTACCACACTCCAGGGGAAGGATATTGCAAAATCTCCATTCCCACCCCACTCCAGGGGGAAGCATACTGCAAAATCCCCATTCCCTCCCCACTCCTGGGGGAAGGATATTGCAAAATCTCCATTCCCACCCCAGTCCAGGGGGAAGCATACTGCAAAATCCCCATCCCTCCCCACTCCTGGGGGAAGGATATTGCAAAATCTCCATTCCCATCCCACTCCAGGAGGAAGCATACTGCAAAATCCCCATTCCCTCCCCACTCCTGGGGAAGGAGATTGCAAAATCTCCATTCCCACCCCACTCCTGGGGGAAGGAGATTGCAAAATCTCCATTCTCACCCCACTCCAGGGGGAAGCATACTGCAAAATCCCCATCCCTCCCCACTCCTGGGGGAAGGATATTGCAAAATCTCCATTCCCATCCCACTCCAGGAGGAAGCATAATGCAAAATCCCCATTCCCTCCCCACTCCTGGGGGAAGGATATTGCAAAATCTCCATTCCCACCCCACTCCTGGGGGAAGGATATTGCAAAATCTCCATTCTCACCCCACTCCAGGGGGAAGCATACTGCAAAATCCCCATTCCCTCCCCACTCCTGGGGGAAGGATATTGCAAAATCTCCATTCTCACCTCACTCTGGGGCCAGCCAGAGGTGGTATTTGCCGGTTCTCTGAACTACTCAAAATTTCCACTGCCGGTTCTCCAGAACCTGTCAGAACCTGCTGGATTTCACCCCTGCTATATATGTAACCTTTCAATGATTGACAGGCCATCCTGTATTAGCAATTTCACACAGGTAGCAGGATAGGCGGTAAGTGAACCGGGTAGTTCCTGGATGTTTTGTTCCTTAATACAATATGGAGTTGTTTAAATGTTAACCCTCCATTCTTAGCCTACATTGATTTACCGGGTTGAATTTAACAAAGGCAAGCATGTAGTAGTGGTTGAGGTTGGAGTCAAGAATAGCTGACCCAAGTTCAAGTCCATCTTCAGCTATGGAAGCTGATTGAATAACACTAAGGCTTGTCACTTTCTTGAAGTCCAGCCTATTCAATATTCCCCTACCCAGTCATGTCTGACTCTTAAGAGCAGTGCTCATCTCCCATTTCTTAGCTGAGGGAGTCAGTGTTGTCCAAAGACACTTCTGTGATCATGTGGCCAACATGACTATGCACCGAGGTGCACAGAACACTGTTATCTTCCCATCAAAGTGGTACCTATTTATCTGCTTGCATTTGCATGCTGTCGAACTGCTAAGTGGACAAGAGCTGGAGCAAGGAACGGGAGCTCACCCCGTCACACAGCGCTCGGGTCTCAAACCCAGAAGTGTCAGCTTTCCAGCTTTCTTTTAATTGCTAAACCATCGCGCCCCCTTATTCAACAGGGCATGGTTGTGGGGGAAAATGTCAGAATGCGCGCTAGAGGAAAAGCAATATATAAATGTAAGGCTGAATAAAATGTATGGAAAGTGAAGGCAAAGACATGTAAACTGCTGGAATCTCTCATCCGCTTTGATTTTCTTCCTTGCAGATGCGATGAAGACATCAACGAGTGTGAACGAGAGGAATGTGAGAACGGGGGCTCTTGCGTCAATGTATTCGGTTCCTTTCTGTGTAACTGCACTCCCGGATACGTGGGCCAGCATTGTGGACTAAGACCCGTGGTGGTTCCTAATATCCAAGCTGGCCATTCTTATGTGGGCAAAGAAGAATTGATCGGTATTGCCGTTGTTCTTTTCATCATCTTTTTGTTGGTAGTCCTCTTCATTGTCTTCCGCAAGAAAGTTTTCCGGAAGAATTACTCTCGGAACAACATTACTTTAGTCCAAGACCCAGCCACTGCTGCTCTGCTCCACAAAAGCAACGGCATTCAGTTCAAGAACATGAGGACCAGCGGCGACAGCCGCAATATCTATCAAGAAGTAGGACCACCTCAGGTGCCAGTGAGGCCAATGGCCTACACCCCTTGCTTCCAGAGTGAGTCTAGGAACAATTTGGACAAGATAGTGGACGGACATGGGGTGGAACATCAAGAGATGACAACCTTCCATCCGGAATCTCCCCGGATCCTGACTGCAAGGAGGGGTGTTGTAGTGTGCAGTGTGGCCCCCAACTTGCCCGCTGTATCTCCATGCCGTTCTGATTGTGACTCCATCCGGAAGACCTGGGAAAACGGCAATGAAAGTGAGTAACGTCCCTTCAACTTTCTAGATGTTGTTTTTTTTTTTTTAATTCACATTTCTTTCCTCATTACCTTTTTTTTTTTTTAAATTTGATTTATATGCCGCCCTTCTCCGGAGACTCAGGGCAGCTTACAATGCGCTAAACAATAGCCTTCATCCTTTTGTATATTTATACAAAGTCAGCTTATGGCCCCCACAAACTGGGTCCTCATTTCACCTACCTTAGAAAGGATGGAAGGCTGAGTCAACCTTGAGCCTTGGAGAGATTCGAACCTGCAGTAATTGCAGGCAGCTGTTCTTAATAACAGCTTAATAACAGGGTGCTTTAGACCACTGTACTACCAAGGCTCTTTTTGGCCTTAGAACAACCTTTTTTAAAATGACTGGTATAAAGGTTAGGGTCAGGGGTGAAATCCAGCAGGTTCTGACAGGTTCTGGAGAACCGGTAGCGGAAATTTTGAGTAGTTCGGAGAACCGGCAAATACCACTTCTGGCTGGCCCCAGAGTGGGGAATGGAGATTTTGCAGTATCCTTCCTCTGCCATGCCCACCAAGCCACAGAACTGGTAGTAAAAAAAAATTGAATTTCACCACTAGTTAGGGTTATAAATACAAGTTTCCAAAGATTAGAAAAGGGGTGTCAAATTTAAGGCCCGCGGGCTGGATCCGGCCCAGGGGTGCTTAGATTTGGGCCCCCCGGGGCTGCCCTGGAAACAGGGCTGCAGGAGGCCATCACAGCCAAAATCGGAGCCCTCCAGGGCTCCATTTTTGCTGGCAGAGGGCTGCAGGACGTCAAGCTGGCCATGCCCACTTGCGCCCCCCCCCCCCGCCAAGGTCAAACGCAACCCTGATGCAGCCCTCAATGAAATCGAGTTGGACACCCCTAGATTAGAAGATCCGGAGCTCAGTTCTTAACGTCTTCAGGCCAGCTTGGCAATCTTCCTGCTTAAAATCCAACAGCCAAAGCTTCTCTAAATATATGGGCATTATATCACATGTCACGCAATGGCACATATCCAAAATAAACCTACTGCTTCGTTGGTACACAAACCGTATCGACTTCTGCCGTATAAATAAGTCCTTTAATCAGCGAACTATCAACCGCAGATTAGCAGAATAATGATATGACAGTCCTGAAATACAGCCACCCGAGCATATGCACAAAGTTATTAATTCAGTAATTATATTGTATTTAATTATACAGTTCTCGAATCGTGATCAAATTAGCAATTTGGAATATTTTATTTTCGTCCCAAATAGCATGTCTTGCCTTATCCTGAAAGCAATGTAAATAAATTGGTGTCGCAGAGAGACACATTTGCAACCCTCTTCCGACGATGCATAAGTCAACCTTCAGATTTCTCCAACCGGCATTCTGGGACCTGAAGTCTCCAGACAGCTGGGAAACACCATATTGGAAAAGCTGCCTTTAAGGAATTGGATAAATAGACAAGATAAATTGTCTTTTATAGGAAGCAGGCAGAATTTTTTTTTCAATTTGCCAGAGCTACTGAGAGCAAAATTTAAAGCTTACGCTCACAAGACTTTTTAGAAGAAGTTGATGCTCAGAAATGAAAAGAAACACAGTTCTAGACTTGCAATGGAGCCCAAAATTTCTGTTGCTAGATGAGACATAGATTAAGTGAAAAACTGCAGTTGTTAAGTTAGTAACACGGTTGTTAAGTGAGCCTGGCTTCCTCGTTGGCTACGCAATTGGTTGTAAATTGAGGATTACCTGTAAGATGATGAGTGTCACGCTTGGGGCTCAGGACCCCGGACAGCGCCCCGAAATTCGGGAAAGCTGCTTTAGTTAAAAAAAGAGATTCGGGTTAATGTCAGGGTTCCAAGTAATACCACCAATGAAAGAAGACTCCGAGGCTTGAGTTTCCTCAAAGTTCCTTTTTATTGAAGATGTCATACTGGTACATCTGGGAAAACTTGAATCTGAAAGTTTCCAGGTTTTCCCCACTCAAGTGAAAGTTCAAGTCCCTGCCCAACACCATATGTCCATCACATGGTCCAATCATCCACCGTCCAAACTGGAGACATCTCCCAGTCATCCGACTCCAGGTGCCAGGGCAAGGCGTCCTTGACTCTCTGAGAAAGGAATGTTATTTTGACTACACATCACCCATACCCTATACCAGTGATGGCAAACCTTCGCGCGGAAACATCACATGTGCGGGCTCGTCAGGGTCACACTCCGGAATTCTATCACGCATGTGTGTCTGATGATCAGCTGGCCAGCACGCATGTGCAGGCCGGTTTTTGGCACTGCCGCACGCATGAAGGGATCATGCTCTGGAAAAGCTGAACTTCCGGGTTCTAGCACACATGTGCGCCCAACAATCAGCTGGCCGGCGCACATGTGCACACGGGCTTATGGGCACTGCCGAGTGCACAAAGGACAGCTGATTGTCACATGTGCATGCGCGCCAGAAACCCGGAAGACAAAGAGGCAAGGCTGCGTGTGCCACTTTGAGCACACCTGCCATAGGTTTGCCATCATGGCTCTATGCAATCCCCCCTCCCATTTTCCCACCGAAGAAAATGTGGCAGGCCTGAAGGCCCAAATGTAGAAGATAGCTTCCAGGTCTGACAACGAGCCATTTCCGAAGCAAGAAGTCTCGTTGGATGCAATGTGCTCTAAAAACCCAGGTCTGTATATCCATACAACCCGTTCTCTCTTCTTTTACATGTGTATAGGCAAAGAACTTGACGATATGGAAGAAGTGACCTGTTTGTCGGGAAGCAATAAAGGCAGCAATTCAGAAGTTCAGTCCCTCAGCTCCTACCAGTCGGATTCCGGTGATGATAATGGTAAGAATAGAAATAGTTTTTATCCTGTCATCTTCTTGAAATAATTTTGATGTTATCACCGCAGAGGTCTTGGGTACTAGAATTCTAGCCAATCTTTTCTCTCCCGGGTGAAATGTTCAACAGTTTACAATTAGTAATCAACAGCTGATTACTATATAATATTGATGCTACCTAATTAATTTCTACAGGTAAGCAGAAGATGGAAGTCAACTCTTAACTGTTACAGGTAGTCCTTGACTTACAACACAACTGAGCCCAAAATTTCTGTAGCTAAGCGAGACATTTGTGAAATGAATTTTGCCCCGTTTTACGACCTTTCTTGCCCCTAGCTGTTAAGTGAATCGCTGCAGTTGATTTTAAGTTAGCAACCCGGTTATTAAGCGAATCTGGCTTCCCTCGTCGACTTGGCTTCTGAGAAGGTCGCAAAAGGGGATCACATGACCCTGGGACACAGCAGCGGTCATAAGTATGAACCAGTTGCCAAGCATCTGAATTTTGATCGTGGGGTTGCTGCAACGGTCGTGTGAAAAAGGACCATTTTTCAGTGCCGTGGTAACTTTGAACTGTCACTAAATGAATTGTTGTAATTTGAGGACTACCTGTAATCAGTTTTGTTCTTAGCTTAAAGGTATTCAAAGAATATTCCCGCCTACAGAGTAATAATGCATTTGACGTTGCAGATAAAATTTCTAGGAAAAGAATCTAAAACTCTGTAGCAAGGCCTGCATTGATGTTTCTATTCTCCAAAGCTACACAAGATCATTGAACGAAGAATAAATCATGCGGTTGCTATGATACAGACAATGATGTGGTAGATATTTCCTCTTCCAAACACAGCTTAATATAGTATTGGCAAAATAATATTTTCCAAATAAAGGATAACCTCCACATAGGGATTTGTGAATAGGAAGGAAGATGCCTAACAGAATCATCATTTCTAGAGCCAAGTACAATGGCTTGGGCATAAACCCATCTACCCCAGCCTAAAAAGTTGAGAGATCATCACATTAAACTCAGTTAAGCGAGTTTTAGTGAACTCTGGAGACACCTTGAGATACTTCACTCCAAGTATTGATTGCCCAACTATCATGAGTGTTGCAGAATGTCGATAGTTTCAACCAAATACCATGTGAGACTTCTTATGTGAGATTTGGAAATGATTAAAATTTAGATGTTGGTATGCGTAGTATATCATCTATGAAGGAGTCAATAGAAGTATTGCTAGAGATATTTGCTTCTCTGCTTGGAGGCATGAGGGATGGCATCTATCTAGGGCCTGACATAGTCATCCCAATCATTATGCGTTGCTAAGATTCTGTGCTTCCCAAAAAGTTCTTGTTGTTCAATCACTAAATCGTGTCCAACTCTTCACAATCCCATGGACCAGAACACGCCAAGCCCGCCCCCTGTCCTCCAATGTCTCCTAGAGTTCACCCAAATTTATGTTCATTGTGTCAGTCACGCTATTTAACCATCTCTTCCTTTGCCGTCCCCTTCTCCTTTTGCCTTCAAGGCCAAGAAAAGTTACTTCTTCTTCCATCACTAGATGTCTATGGAGATTCTCAGTCATCCAGGTCATGGTTGTCCCAAAGGTGCTTTTTTCAAGAGGCCAACTGGACTTTCTGGTTTTTCTTTGAAGACATTTTGCTCAGTAGTGGTATTCAGCTGGTTCTATCCGGTTCGAGCAAACCAGTAGCGGTGGCTGTGGGATGATCCTGTTGTGACCCAGGCCCAAGTAGGTATTATCGGATGCAAATAGTTTGAAACAAACAGACTGTATTAGAACAGCTGAGAATTAACTCATTCTCAGCGTAGTCCAAACTAATTCAAAACAAATTCTTCATAACACAATTCTTCAGCCTTATCACCAACCTGGGTCTAATTAGGCAACCTGCCAAAGGCTTTTCTTGGCAAAAGTTCAGAAGCAGAAGACGCCGACAAGAAATAAATGCAGCAAGACAAGAAAGCAAATCTATCAACGTTGTTTTCCGACGAAGAGCCCAAGAGCCATTGCTGGTCTTTTAAGCCTTATGGGAGGGGCCAATCATCCCTTGGGCCTATTCCCGAGTCATCCTTTAGCTGCTCTTCTGTTCTGGCAGCTCTTCTCATGAGTGCACTAGGAACAGGCTCCTCCTGTTCCTCTGCCTCTCTGCTGTCAGTCTCTGGAGGCTCCGGAGTCCGCACATCACTCCCAGATGGACCTGGCTCCATCTCTGCCTCCGACGCAGAGCCCTCATCCAGGTCTTCCCCAGCCTCCAGGACTGGCCCTGGATGTTCTTCCTCAGCCTCCTCATTGTCTGACTCCACTGTCAGCTCTGCAGGCAGCTGGTGGACCACAACAGGTCTGCCTACCCGCCCGGACATCATCATATCCCGTTTTTGATGCTCTGTGCATGCTCAGAAGACCCTGCGTGCTCACATTTGCGAACCGGTAGCGAAGGTAAGTGAATATCACCCCTGGTTTCGCTTCTCATCCAAGAAGCTTCAGAGGTGAAGAAGCTTCTTGGATGAGAAGTGAAACGTCTTCAAAGAAAAACCAGAAAGTCCAGTTGCCTTTGGGACTTCCTTCTTCTTAGTTACTTCATTGACTCCTGTATTTTTTACTTCTTAAGAGAAAGGCAAGTGCTTATGGACTTTTATTTCTCAGATGCCAAAATATAACTGAATAGGGTTTTTAATGGTACATATTTATTTCGTTATATAGCTTTTTTGAAAAGCCAATGGGTAGTGCTTCAAAGCATTGACTTCAAAACATTTCTCATGAATTCTTCTGAGCCATAAAGGGTACCAGTGGGTCTTAGACACTTGGAGGACAATGCTTTCCTTTGAAGTATTTCCAGCTCCACAGGGGGAAAAGTCAGAAATGAAAGGAAGAAATTTGTTGCCAATGAGTGCATGGAAAAGATTTCAGGAGGAGAGCATGGTTGATAGATGTGACTGACCTAATGAGGAAAGAAAGAAAACAGTGGACAAATCCAAGAGGCTCTAACCCATAATAGAAGGATGAGAAACCAGGAAATAGGATGTGAACAGATATTGGCAGAAGGTCTGGATAGAAACAGAAAAGGTGAAAGGTGGACCAGTGTTTCTTAGGGTGTTCGTGTGAGAGAATATTTGGGGAAGGATTAATTCAGAACGAGAAAGAAAAAAGACAGATTAGGTGATGTGAAATTTTGTGTGAGAACACGAGAAAGAGAGAGACGATGGAGAAAGTCCTAGGTGTGAATTATCTACAACTAAAGAGAAGAGATGGTGTGAAGGATAGATCCAATTCAGGTTTGGGAACAAATCCCGGGGGTGTTTTTCGGGGGGCAAAATAAATATTGGGTGAGTGACTGCAAACTCTAAGGTAAAGGTAAAAGTTCCCCTCGCACATATGTGGTAGTCGTTCCCGACTCTAGGGGGCGATGCTCTGTTTCAAAGCCGAACAGCCAGCGCTGTCCAAAGACGTCTCCGTGGTCATGTGGCCAGCATGACTAAACGCCAAAGGCGCACGGAACGCTGTTAATGATGCTGGGCTTGTCAGATAGAAAGCTGACAGCCCAGGTTCGAGACCCAAGCTCTGTGCAACTGGGCGAGCTCCCGTTTCTTGCTCTGGCTCCTGCCCACTTAGCAGTTCAAAAGCAAATGCGAGTAGATAAATAGGTACCACTTCAGTAGAGAGGTAACAGCGTTCCATGCACTTTGGCCTATAGTCATGCTGGCCACATGACCACAGAAGAGTCTTTGGGCAACGTTAGCTCCCTCGGCTAAGAAACAGAGACAAACACCACCCCTAGAGGGGAACCCTTTACCTTTATTTTAATGGTATGAAAGAGACTTTTTTTTAGGGCTCTTCCCTGGGTGGAAATATCAATCCCGCTAGGTTAGAAGCAGATCTTGGAAGGGATATCGGCCTTTAGATTTGTTCGACTGCAACTCAAGGTCATATTGGCTGGAAATTTTTGAGACTGTAAGGGTCCCCAGAAACTAGGAAAAACAATAAAATAGGATGTACAAGGATTTGAGGGGACTTTTCACAAAGTCTTCAATTTAACTAGGATGTGGTGGCTCAGTGGTTAAGACGCTGAGCTTGTCGATCGAAAGGTCGGCAGTTCAGCGGTTCGAATCCCTAGTGCGGCGTAACGGGGTGAGCTCCCACTACTTGCCCCAGCTTCTGCCAACCTAGCAGTTCAAAAGCACGTAAAAAATGCAAGTAGAAAAATAGGGACCACCTTTGGTGGGAAGATAACAGCATTCCGTGCGCCTTTGGCGTTTAGTCGTGCCAGCCACATGACCATGGAGACGTCTTCGGACAACGCTGGCTCTTCAGCTTTGAAATGAAGATGACCACTGCCCCCTAGAGTCGGGAACGACTAACATATATGTGTGAGGGGAACCTTTACCTTTACCTCAATTTAACTGCTGCCCAAGAAGAGATGTCAAATTTGGTGGCAGTGGGAATGTAATACTGATCCAGCCCCTTTCTGGTGTGTGTGGGGAGGTGTATTATGAAGGGGATAGAATCATGGATCTCAGCAACGTGCAGTGCTCTGCATGTCAAAATTGTTTGGTTCAATATCCAGTTCCAAGTAGAGGAACGGCACATTCAAGGATATCTGTGGGCCTTACAAAGCTGTGTGCGTGCCCCTAAGAACTCCTTCAAACAATGTCACCAAACAATATTTTTTTACCACGACACAATAATGGAAGAGGAAAACAATTAAATGTGTAAATAATAACTGAGTTAAAGTTATTTAAAACTTGCTTTATTTAAATTATTTTGTTTTTCTCCTGGCCCTCTGCATACAAGACTTCTTTCTCCTGGCTTTTAGACTTAGAATAACTTTATTGTCACTTTGAATGTATACTAATCAGCATACATGAAATGAAATTTCATTGCATACAGGTCTCAAAGAGTCTCCACCTCTAATATACACTACATAAACATGATTAATAAATACATAAATAAATTAAAAAATATGCATATACCCACATATATTTTATGACACGGTGAAGCAACACAGTTTAGTTTGGATGTACACATGTACATGGCAAGAGAAACAAATCTTGCGAGTTTACCAGATGGGTGACACGGAAAACAAAGCTGTTACAGAATCTGATAGTCCTGCTAGAAATATCTCGAAACTTCCTCCCAGAAGGGAGCAACAGAAAAAGACCGTGAAGTGGGTGTGTGGGGTCTCTAACAGTCGCTTTGAGCTTTAAGCACATAGCATTTATAGGCAGTATCCTGAATAACAAGAAGCGAGTTTCCTATAATCTTCTCGGCTGTCCTTACCACTCTCTGTAGGGACTTTCTATCTGAGGCAGCGCAGCCACCAAATCAAACAGGGATGCAGTTTATTAAAACGCTCTGAATCATGCCTCTGTAAAAAAAAGTGGCCAGGATAGAAGAAAGATGTGCTCTCCTCATCCGACGCAGGAAATGCAGACGCTGGTTTCTCCCCCTTCTTGCCCACATCCCATGTTATAAAAAAGCTTTATTTCAATAATTGTTGCTCTTGAGTTAAAGATCCAAGGTATACTTGATAATGAAATCTGTTGGGTGATCCTGGGATAAATGCTCATCCAAATAAATAATTCTCAACTAGATAAACCAATGATCTACAAGGAAGTCTTATTCTAACATTAGTCTACTGCAGGGGTGTCAAACTCAATGCCCGGGGGCCGGATCCGGCCCACGGGGCGCTTAGATCTGGTCCACGGGGCTGCCTTGGAAACAGCGAAGGACCGGCCCACAGTACCTCTGCCAGCAAAAACAGAGCTTGGGAGGGCCACATGCAGCCCTCCCAAGCTCCATTTTCGGCTGCGACGACCTCCCTCAATCCTCTGCCAGCGAAAACGGAGTTCGGGAGGGCCGCGAGCGCTCGAGCCACCACAAGAGCCCCCGACACAAGTGATGTTGAGCTGGCCACACTTACCCTGGCCATGCCCCCCCCCCGGCTCCTCTGAGGTAAAACACAACCCTGATGCGGCCCTCAATAAAATCGAGTTTGGCACCCCTGGTTTACTAGCTGTATTGTGATTATTGCTAATGTGAAATTCTCTCTTTTGACACCGCTGATAAACCCAACATTGAATAAGTGGCCGTCTCTGGCTTAAAGGGATGTTAAAAAATAATTAAGGGATAAGTAGCCTTTAAACGGCAGCTATTTAATGAGCAATGTTTAATCTACCCTTCTACCTGTCTCTAAATGTTTCCCTAGCAGAATTTGTAATTAATTCCCCACTAAGACTTTGTGTTCATTCAGAAGCAAGTAATCCTAATGGTGGTGGTGAGGGGGTGGGATTTAGCCAAACACTTTTATAAAACCACCTTAAATCATTCTGGCTGCTTGGAAGATAAGAGGCACTTCAAAGGCAGCACTTAATCTCAAGGGTTTGGGGTTTTTTAAGCAATTGCCATTTAGAGATGAGTGTCAGCTAGAGTCATTGAATTGTGGAGTCCTTGGTGCTCTCTGAGCTCGGTTGTTTTCTTGCAGATGTTTTTATTATCCAACTCGGGGACAGTCTTCAGATTCATTTAATCTCCCAGGTTGGATTTATGAACTGGCGGTAGTCATCTCATTGCGTTTTTTGTGTTTTCTCCCCATTTGCTGCCCTGTTACAGGGAAAAAATACTCAAGTGTGTGTGTATATGGAGTTACCAGATGTTGAAATGTTCTCAAACCATTGCATAATTCATTTGTAACCGTCTACCCTTCTGTAGTTGGTCTCACAGCTAATCTGAGATTGTGTTCGTTGATAACCTCTCATGTGAAATAAATAAATTACTAACTTGAGACTGTCCTTCCTTTATTTCTGCTCTCCTCCTCCCGCAAGCTTCCATTGTGACTGTCATACAGCTTGTCAACAATGTAGTTGACACAATAGAAAACGAAGGTATTTAATCTTTTAAATATATATGCTGTATATATGTATGTATGTATGTATAGATATGACCTTCTCCTCCTGCACTGTCGTCTATTGTTTGTCAATTGTTTGTCTGATTTTTGTTCCTCTATATATAAAAAAAAGATCACAGCAGAACTTTATTAACTCACACTGACTAGCCAGGACTCGGCAAACCATTCTTTGGCAAAGAGGAAAGATTTTGAAAAGATAGCAACCAAAACAAATTACCATACTTTGCTTTATTATGGATTGCAGACCTTAAGAGAATTGAAGGCTTTGTTTCTGATCAGATTTTGTCTGGGGAGGGAAGCGAGTCCCCAAATAAGTGATACCCTTCAAAACTGAACCAAATGCAACTAACTGAATACAAAGGAGCTGTGTCAAAGATAGGGAAACATATGTTTACAGTCATTCTCTGCTTACAGGGGTATTTAACATAACAGTATATGGACAGAGGCCTTAGCTTAACACGCTGTATCAGCGTTTCTCAATTTTGGCTACTTCAAGATATGTGGACTTCAACTCCCAGAATTCCCCAGGCTGACATGCTAGCTGAGGAATTCTGGGAGTTGAAGTCCATATCTCTTAAGAGTTTCCCCACGGCTGAGAAATACTGACATAAATTCATCATTAGACAAACACTGCAGTACCCATATACAGGTCCATATAAACCTTTTTTTACGGTGTCTTATCTGTTAACCCTCATTCAACTTCCTTCTGTGCACTTTCGTTCCTGGGCTCACATCTACAGGTGGTCCTTGACTTATGACCATAATGGAGCCTGCCAAATTATAGTCGCAATGGTCATAAAGCAGAACGTCATAGGTAACCAGACCCGGTTTTACAACTTTTTTTGCGACAGTTATAAAGCAAACACTGCGGTCCTTATGTGAGCCCAATGTTCACTATTGGGCTTTTTTTCCCGCTGAAAACCAGAAATAAACACAAGTTTCCAGGAGGAAAAAATTGGGGGGGGGGGGTTGTCATAAATCATGGTCACATGACCAAGGGATGCTGCAAATGGCTGTCAATGCTGGCCAAGTACCGAAAATGTAGTAGTGTGACCACAAGGGGGCATCATCACTTTGGAACCAGGTTGTAAATAGCTTTTGAGGAAGGGAGTCCATCATAACTTTGAACAGTCACTAAGCAACCGCTCCTAAGTAGAGGACTTACCTGTATGTTAGAGAAACTAGAAAGAGGGGGAAAATGCTTTTCTAGGATTTTTGGATTCCAGCATCTTTGTCTTCACTGACATCTGGCCCACCATCCAAACCCTGTAGTCCTTTGCCACAGGCAAGTTACACTTTCCCTCAGTTGCACTTGAGCTCCAAGTGCAGATTTCTCCTCCTTGATAGGAGATAGGCCTGTGATGGCGAATCTATGGCACACATACCCAAAGTGGCACGCGCGGCGTCACCCATTCCTCTTCCAGGTTTCTGGCGCGTATGCATGCGCAACGATCAGCTGGCTTTTTTGCATGCGGAAAGTGCCGGAAACTAGAAGATCTTCTAGCTGGTCTTCCGTTTTCCTGCATGAGCATGCGCACCAGCCAGCTGATCATCACATGCACATGAGCACCAGAAGCCCAGAAGAGTAGCTGGCTGAAACCGGAAGTTCAGTAGCAGAAACTGGAAGTTCATTTTCAGGCGCGCGCATGCGCCCTGGGCAGCTCCTCTTCCGGGTTGCGGCCTAGACGCGCACGCACTCCTTTTTCAGCACTTGGTGCCGAAAAGATTCGCTATCACTGATATAGGCAATATTGCTGCTCCATCAGGGGTGAAATGCTCCCAGTTCGGATCGGATCACCCGATCCGGTAGCGATCGTGGCGGGTGGTTCGGAGAACCGGTAGCAATCGTGGCACGAGACTCCACCCACTCCACCCACCTGCCCGGTTGTCGTTACTTCCTGGTTTTAACTGGTTTTAATGTGTTTTGTACCCTCTGTGCATGCGCAGAAAGGTTTTGAACATGCGCAGAGGGTCTACGTACACATGTGACTTCCGAACCGGTAAGGAAGGTAAGTAGATTTCACCCCTGTGCTCCATGCTTACAAACACAAGTCCAAGAATCCCCATGTCCATTACTGAACACTTCTGTCCTTTTATATATTTAGACCTAGAAGGTAGGTGATTTAACTAGGTAGGCACAAAGCCTCTTGGTCTCTCCATGTCACAAAACCTGGTTCTGATCCACAGAGAGGGGGGAAAAAACCCTTTTAACTTGGAAATCCAAATCCATCTGAGCAATTCACTCTTCTACATACCCCATTTCCTTAAGATAATTCACCTTTTCTAAGTAGGCCGGGTCAAGAAACAAGACTGGATAGCTCAGCAGACTAATGCATTGTAATTTAACTCCAGCTGTCTGCAATTAGTAAGTTCGAATCTTGCCAGGCTCAAGGCTGACTCAGCCTTCCATCCTTTCTAAGGTAGGTAAATTGAGGACCCAGTTTGTGGGGGCAATAAGCTGACTTTTTAAAAATATACAAAAGTATGAAGGCTATTGCTTAACGCATTGTAAGCCACCCTGAATCTCCGGAGAAGGGCGGCATATAAATCAAATTAAAAAAAAAAAAAAGACACTCGTGGATTTTTAAAGATTTTTTTTTAATCCCAACTTTATTACTGTTATAAATAGCTCAAGGCAACCGACATATCTAATCTTCCTTCCTCCTCCTATTTTCTACAATAACAACCCTTATGGTGAATTGGGCTGAGAGGGAGAGTGGTTGGGCCAAAATCATCCAGCCAGTTTCAGTGCCTAAAGCAGGACTAGAATTCACAGCTTCCTGGTTTCTAGCAGGGGTGCTTTAATCACTAGACCAGACCTGGGCATTTTAAGAACCCCCGAGCCACATCTGACCCGTTGGCTGTCCCTGTCTGCCCCGCGTGGATTGCTTTTATTTATTTATTTATTTTATTTTATTTATTATATTTCTATACCGCCTTTCTCCCGTAGGACTCAAGGCGGTATACAGTCAAGAAAAATATAGATACACAAACATCATAAAATTGCTAATTAAAATTATTATTATAACATAGTTTGGCCCAATTAAATAGAACCTAAAATTAGATAACATTTTAAAAACATTCACATGTTCATATGTTTAGCCCCGCCTGTTGGAACATCAGGGTTTTGAGGGCACGGCGGAAAGCACAGGGATATTTCGTATCTCAGGGGGCAGTTCATTCCAAACGGTTGGAGCCCTCACAGAGAAGGCCCTCCCCCTCGGAGTCGCCAGTCGGCATAATTTGACTGACAGTACCCTGAGTAGTCCCTCCCTGTGAGAACGAACTGGTCTGTGGGAGGCTATTGGTGGCAAAAGACAGTCTCGTAGGTACCCATTTAGAAGGCAACTTCTATTTTTTTCCCCAATTTACATAGGCACCTGTGTGCACGCCTATGCACCTTCACAACCAGTGGTGGGTTGCTCCCGGTTCGCCCCAGTTCGGGCAAACTGGTAGCGGCGGGAGGCTCTGCCCACCCGCCCAGACGTCATCAAAAATGCTCTGTGCATGTGCAGAAGTTCCACATGCTCGCAAAGCGGGCACGCGCTCCCACGCACTACCGATAGCAAACCAGTTGCGCTGGGATTTGAAACCCACTACTGTTCACAACCCTATTGATTCATCTCCCCACTACAGTTCCAGTTTCTCATGTGGCCCCTTGGGGAAAGCAATGGTCCATTCCTGCACTAGACCAAACTGGGATTTCCAGGAATGCTTCTTTATTGTTGTAGGTCAGGGGTGTCAAACTCAATTTCATTCGGAGCCGCATCAGGGCTCCCAATGACCTCAGGGGAGAAGGGGGGCTGACTGGGGGTGTGTGGCCAACTGGGTGGGTGTGGCCAGCTTGATACCACTTCCCAAACTGCTAGCATGTTTCCTCTTCGCACTGGGTAGACCAGGCCAAAGCCACGCTGGCCTGATGTTTCCTCTTTGCATTGGGTAGACTGGGTCAAAGCCAGGCGGGCTGGCCCCTTACATTTTCCAAAATGGCCCCGTGGGCCAGATCTGACCACATCGCCAGCCAGAACTGGCCCACAGGCCTTGTGTTTGACACCCTTGTTGTAGATTATATTAACAAAATCTGGAAAGCGTGTTCAACCCCTTCAGTGCCCATTTTTTAAGAACAACAAGGTCAACGCAAAGCTGGCCCAAATCTCACACACTTCCTCCTTTCTCAAAGATTGAGGATCGTTTCCTCTTTCTCCTTTTCTTTCTCAAGGCCAAAGCTTAAATTCCTCTACAAATAAGGGCCGTGAGATTTACTCAAGTCTTGAATGCTCTTTGTTGTATTCTTCGTCTTGTCTCCTTTGTGGTTCCTCGCTCATTCCCAAAGCTGTGTCCTCATTTCAACTCTAGATCTTTTCTTTTCTTGAGCTTTTTCCCTTGAACAAATTTCGAATGGTTTGCTAACTAACTTCACTCTACCGTAACGGTCCTTTCTTCCAACTGGTGATCGGCTCTCTGCTTCTACACTAGACTCATTTCTGATGTATCTTAATCTCTGGTTAAAATTTACCCTTTTCCCTTCCTCACTCAATCTCACTTCTTGGAATTTAGGCTTACTCCCTCCTAATTCCTTTCATTTGGCTTTGTTAACCATGCCTCCTCTAATCCCCTTCAGTTATTAAATGATGACATACTGAGATATTGGTGCCGACCGTCACATCGCAAAATAGATGAGCTAAAATCCTCCAATAATATATTTCGCTAACTGAGTCTTTTCCGAAAGTGTCTTCCCGAAAACTAAGTGAACTCTTGCATGCCTGTTCTTGGAGAACCTCTAACAAAATAATGGTGAGCACTAATATTTTGTCCTTTTTTCTTTTTTGCTTTTAACACCAGTTAAGACTAGCTGCATCATTAAACCAAGCATATTTCTTCCATTGACCTTTGTTTGTTTTGGGTTTGTTTGTTTGTTTTCTTTTCAACTTAGATGAACTTTGGAGATCAATGACCAATAAAATTTTCAGGGTCACA